TTGAAGGGTGAATATCTTTCCGTGATTCCCGAGTTAACAGTTTACCCGCCAAAATTTTCACGAGGCTGTAGGTGATACTCAAGAGAGCGGGAACGCTAAATTTGAATGGGAAAGGTTGAGCGTGGCAGGGGGTCATCACCCTAAAATTTCAGCTTCCTAGACCCCGTGGTTCCCGAGATAACAATTTACCGGTAAAAAGTTTCGCTAGCATACCCGAGGGCGCGGGAACGCTGAATTTGAATGGGCAAGGTTGAGCGTGGGCAGGGGGTCATTACCCTAAAATTTCAGCCTTCTAGTCTCCGTGGTTCCCGAGATATTAATTTACCTGCAAAAAACTTTCACGGAGCCGTACGTGTTACTCGCGGGTATGGGAAGGCTGAATTTGAATGGGCAAGGTTGAGCGTGGACAGGGGGTTATTACCCTAAAATTTCAGTCCCCTAGACTCTGTGGTTCCCGAGATATTAATTTACCCGTAAAAAACTTCCACGGGGCCGCACGTGTTGCCCGCGGGTACGGGAAGGCTGAATTTAAATTTGCCGCGTCACCCGCTGGTGGGGAACACCACACCAAAATTTCAGCCGCCTAGCTTTTGTGGTTTCCCAGTTGAAAGCGCGGGACAAAATGTGAGACACACACACGCACACACACAGACAACCCCGTGACAATATGCGTTTTATACTGCTGTTGCACAGCACAAAACGCAAAAAACCGGTGCAGACGTAAACACACATGCAGGCAACTCTTCGGCAGTATGCTTTTTTGCAATGCACAGATGCAAAAAAGCGCATAAAAAAGAAGGTCCTAGCTGAGTGTCTGTGCATCCCATCAGCAGCTTACTGTTGCAACAGTTATTAGTAAGTAAGGAGCGCTTAAGCATGAGTGCTTAGAAGATGGCCGTTGCAGTTTTAAGAAGAGGAGTAAATGCATCCTGATCAACTGTGATTACAGAGAAATAAAAATAGATACGTCAAGAGAAAAGCTCGACCTGCTGAAGTAACACTCGTCTGCAGCGCTGTGTGATTGCCAAAGCAAGATCTAGCCAGGTCCAATATTTGTCATGATATTCACAGAGCGGAAAAACAAGTTGAAATCTATCAACATCTTCAATATTTTTATCTTTATATCCCTAAAAAACCAGAAGCTGAAAATGTAAATATAAATTACGTAATCTAATTATGCGGCAAATCCTCCAACCCGAAGGAGAGTCAGGAAAAAGCGCAGCTTAGGAATAAGACAACAGGTTGACCATTTTTTCATAGACAAGTTGACCATTCATAGTGAAAATTTTTAGCAGCCCAATGTCCGCTAGATGGAATTGCACAAAACGCATGATCGCACCGACAACCCTGCTGCACGCCGCTACTTATTTTTATCTAGAAAGTGACTGATGGCAAAACGCTTTCTCCTGCGTTTTTGCGCACATCTGTCTTGGGTAATGCTGATTTTTCTTGCCCTCGTCATAACAGGAGTCAACTGTGAAGGATGCGTTTAGGTGCGGCTAAATGCGCTAATCGTATTGCAATTTCCAGGTAAAGTCCTGCAAAGAGTAATCAAAAATTGTCAGACGGACTGATTTCAGACATTTAAAAAAAAAAAAAAGAAATAAGCACGACTGTAAGTTTAGGCTGTGTTTTAACCGCCCATAGTGTGGCTGGCTATTGCATAATTTGATGGCACGATTTCGATCCCTACGAACAATTCTCGGAAGATAAAGCGCTTCACAGTTGTGCCAAGCAATAACCGAACAGGCGTATTTAGAAAGACACGGCATCCACAAAAAAATCACGCCATTCTCCCAACATTTGTAACTGCCGCCTAAATGGCGTAAAATCATTGCAGAGAAAAGCGGAAACTAACCTTATATGAAACAATAAAAGGTACTTCGGGAATTTTAATGTATAGGA